GCAACAAAATTTGAAGCAACTAGCATACCTCAGCATCAGAAAAACCTGTTTAATTGGCAACCCTCAACCATCGTGTGGCCACTATTTCCAAGATCACAGACTTGTTTTGCTGCATGGACACCTGAGACATGGTGAGCATCTTCGAACTTAGGATTGCGAGAAACGCAGGTGAGAGCTGAGACAACCACCACAGCTTTTAACTGTTGCGCGTCGACTTGAATAGCCTGAATTCGGGCTCAACAGAGTCTGACAGGAGATTCCCGCAAGTACCTGCGTCGCACCCCAGTGGCAAATCAGATCTTTCCTTTTCCAACTTGCGACCCTGGGGAGCACTCTCCTGACTGTGGAGGATATCCGTAACTTTAAAACACTGGGGCAAATCAAGATGATCAAGATACAAAATCTATAACAGCATCAGTCCATGGTGCCCCCTCAGTACGTCCACAATGACTCTGCAATTTCGAGCCGATCAACGTGACCCTATCCTTCGCTGTACTGCGAATGACTGCAGCGTATGCAGAGTCAAAACAACGACGATGAATTGGCAGTGCCGGTTGGCAACATTCAAAGATCAGCCTCTGGAAGCCTCATCTCAAAATATCATCCCAATGGCAGCAAGCAGCAGAATGCGTCATGTGTCTATCAGATTCTATCAGCACAAGTCATCTGAATCACATGGATCAATATGGATCAAATGTGTCAGGCATTCAACCACATTGGCCGATCACACTTTCGAGTGAATTCAGCGACCACCGCGCGGCCAAGTTCAAAGAATCAAATGGTACCTGACCAACTTGCGGGACCAGCGTACCATGGTTCCAAGGTAAACAAAGGGCAGCCCAAAAAAACACAACTCTTATGCCTGTCCTGCGAATACAAATATCAGAAGAATTGTGTGGAGATGTGTGGAGTACTTAGTAGTTATACTACCATATACTGCCTATCCTGAAAAGGATACCACAACGAACTTTTCGTGATGTACCTAACGGATCCTAACGGATCTTGGGGCTGTCCAAGGGCTGGTGTTTCAGCAGGCGATCCAATGCAGCATCCACGGTCTAAGGCTCTGGCAGTTCAGGAACTGGGCTGATGCCGCGCTTGTAGCAATAACCTTCCCGCCCGGGCGGCGCATCTGGCAGATCCATTTTCAGATGGGTAGTGGCCCAAACCCCTTGTGGTAGCATAACCTCCAAATCAATAACCATCCTGGGCAGATTGGCTTGGTGAATTCTCACGTGTTTCTGAGGCGGGAACGAGAGAAGTGGTTGCCTCAGGCTTGGAGCTGTTGAAACTTCCCATCGAAGGAATGAATTTGTTCTAGAATGGCAAAGCAGGGGAAACTGGCCCAAATGATGAATGGGTAGTCTGTACCCAATGCACGAGTTCACTAGAGTTCACCGTGGTCGAGTCCAGCTTGCAGAACACCAAAGACTCCAGTACTTCATATATATATATATGAATATTTGGATATGGGTCTAGAAAGAAGGCCCTCAAAAATCGCCGGTCATGTTTGGGGCCACCAGAATTCCAAGTCGCTGAGGTCTTCCAATAGGACGTTGATCTGTCGGATTCCTGGAGGAATCTATGGGACTCCACCCAAAACTACCACCAATATCATGGAATATGAATGGAATATTCATGAAATACATGTTTTACTCACCATGATCAAATAATTATTATTAATCACCAATCGCCAGTATTAATCACAAATCCGCCCGCACCGAAGGTGCTGGGGCGTGATCTTCCGGATGGCACTCGTAAAAGGTTACAGGTTTACCTGGGGGAGGGGGGGGAAGCATTTTTCGGCCAAAACCTCCTGTTTTTGATAGGTCGTGACGCTCGCCTTCAAAAAACACTGTAAAAAACAGTACGGAAGACACCTGTTCGTGAACGCGCCGGTCCAAAATCGGCAAGCGAAAAGTGAAAAAAACCCGTGTTTTTCAACTTTTTGACCTCATTTTTTTGGTTTGCAACATCTTTTTTTGCGGTTCCGCAGGTGGCCTGGCCCGGAGGCGGATTTTTGAGTTTTTGGACCCGTTTTCGGACTGATTTTCGTCGTTTTGTGATAGCAGAAACACTGGTTTTTACAGTGTTTTTCTGTTTTCTGCATGCTTGACGGCTAGCTTCAAAACTTCCAAAAACATCGTAAATTACGCTGTTTTATGTTACGGTGTGAATGAAAACATCGTAAATACCAGTGTTTTTTAACGTTGGTTAAAAAAACACTGTAAATTACAGTGTTTTTGGCCACCTGACCCTCAAAAACCATGGTATTTGCAGTGGTTTCTGCTTCTCACCGCGCAAAAACACTGTAAATAACAGCAATTTCGCCGTTTTTTCATGTTTTTCGTTATTTTTTGAACTGCGTTGGTCCGCTATACATGGCTATCAAATTCTTCGCGATTTTTTTTCCGACAATCAGTACTTTCGGATGTTTTTGGTCTCAATGGCCGACATCATTGGCAGTTACGAGCGGCTGCCCAACGATGCGGTGCGGGCG